ATTTCACGCGGGGACGGGCGGCGCTCGGGACCGGGGTCCCGTGTCCAATGCTCTGTGGTCTTTGCACTTCAGGTCGCGAAATGGAAGCGAATGAACCGGAGACCCCGAAAACGGAAGCGAAGAGGGACCGAAGAAGCTTTTGAAAAGGTAGGGGTCCCCCAAAGAGGGCACTTGTGGGGCTCTCGATAAATGTCCCTGTCTGCCCTGAGGACTTGGCACAACAATAGAACATTTTTTTAAAGTTAAATTTACAGTAGCCTGATTACAGGGAGAGTTCTGTAAAAGTATTGGCTGGCCATCCTCATGGTGATCCACATACTGTGTTCTCCTGCAGTGAGGGCCCCGGGGATGGAGTTTTGATTTAGCATCAGCAAGTAGAGCACGTGGGACATAAGTGGGTTCTGGTACCCTATGGGCCAGGAGCACTTTTTATGGCAGTGTTTGGGTACCCCTAAAAAAGGGGATCTTCCGAGTAAATCACCCACAGCATCGGGGTTCCCTCTTTGGTGGTGACAGATACAGTCGCAGCTCCCTCGTGTAGGTGTTGGAGTAATCTCAGATATGGGAAGAGAAGCTGGAAAAAAGGGGATTACTTTTGTAACGCCAACAAGACATTTTTCTGAATTTAGAATTTTAATGTTACTTTGCAGAAGTTTGACTCCCTTTTTTTCTCCTAAAATTGCATTAAGTTAAAGCGTGACATGTTATTGTAATAAATATTGTGAAATAAGGTAAGTAATCTGTTGTTCTCTAAGTGACTTTTATTGAAAACTCTCAAAAAAAAGAATCATGTTATAGCAGACAGGACTTCTGTTGCTTTTTAAAATTATTCCATGTACTGCTTTTTGATTCTTGATAACACCAAGGGATTAAAATAGCGGTGTGTTGTTTTTCTGCTGCTAGAATGTATGATGAATCACTCCTGATTCTGAAGCCAAATTCTTGCTGATAGCATTGCTGCCAACTTCTGTGATGTGTTGCCTTAGTATGGGCATCGCAGCGTCCGAGAATGTGCACAAAGCACATCAGAATGAAGGTGATACCGCAGTTCCAGAGTGCGGTTAAGGATACCAAGGGCGGCTTCTCAGAGGAGTGGAAAAGGAACAGAGTCATCTGTAGCTAGACATTCAGTATGTGAAAAGTGATGCCCCAGCTTTCCCCTTTCTACATAAAAAAGGGTCATACATGTCACTTCATTTCAACAGTAATAGCAAAAGTTGTCATTTTGAACAGACTGGAGTTTTCGGATCCTATTCTCAGCATGTTGTGGTAGGTTGTGTTTGTTTAACTTTCATGGCCTAGATGTTTTTTAAAAATGTACGTTTATGAAGGAGATCATAAAATGTCCATAGGACATTATGGCTTACTTAGTATTGTGAAAAAATATTTTCTAGTTATTATTTTTTAAACCAAAGATAAGATTGCCCAAATACATAAGGTATCACGCATAAAGAAGGGGAAGGAAGCCTTTATCTTTGTAGGTTACTAAGGTACCGTCACTACCAAAATCTGAACTTGAGGTAACCATGTCTGTGACACCCATGACCTGAGAATGAGCCAGGGCCGTGGCAGTGGGGGGGTGGGGATTGAGGAATTTTCCTCCCAAGAACATAGTTCTTCCCTGAGCCTTCTCCTTGAGAGAAGATGTTGTGCCTTTTCTTCTTGGAGAACGTGGGTAGCACTCTTACAGAGGATATGAACGTGAAGTAGATTGGGGGCAACATGCCGAACTGCCTTTCAAGGAATAAAGCTTAAAGCTCACTGGCGTTGGAGGTAGAGGGTGGAGAAAGAGGGGATCTTTCAAAGTTGTGTCAGGAAGTAATGGTTTCGGTATCTCCAGTCTCTCCTCCGGACTCTGTACAGCAGCTGAGCGCCTTGCCCACGGTTTGCCTCTGCCATGCCCAGGAGAAGGTTTGCAACTTGCTGAGGCAAAGCACGCAGTATTTTCCAAGGGCAAGGTGAAAGGCAGTGCAATCAGCAACCAAGGGCCTCCGACCAAGTTCCGAAAGGCACCGAGGCGGTCCTGCCGGGGTGTCCCCTGATGGCCCCAGTGTCCATTCCAAAATGCAGATGGAATTCTATGTGCAATGAGTATTCAAACCCAGGTCATGTGGCACTCTTTTGCTAGGACTTGAACCTGTTATTAGTGGGAATCTAGGTAAAATTACTGCTGAGTTTAGTAAGTATTTTCAAATGTCTGCCATGCCACAAGTGAAGGAGATTATCAGTTTCTCCTTTTTCATGCATCCACTGTATTTTTGCTGCTACATGAAAACTATGATCTTTTCGGTGGTATTCACTGTATGTTACTGTAAGAGGAGAGCCTGGGTTTGAGTCATTTCGGGTAGGTGTGCCTGTTAGGTCTAGCTGTTTTCTTTACTTGCCTGCTTTGTTTCCGTGCCCTGCGTCTACCCAGTGCCCTTTCCTCCAGCCCCTCGTCTCTGCATCTTCAGGTCTCACACAGGATTCAGCTCAGCTGCGTGAACTCGGTTAACCAGTCTGTGTTCAGCTCTGCTGGGGTCACAGCATTTTCCCTCCGATGTTTACTGCTCTGTGGGAAGCAGTCCTCTGACCTGCGTGAGGAAGGAGAGCAGCAGTGGTGCAAGGCCGGGGTCTGGAACTGGCAGGGGGCGGCCAATTATGTGTGAGGAATGTAATCTTATAGGAGGTACTGGTATTCCCCTTAAAGGAAGGGAAGGCACGGCCTGATGTAACTTGAAATACTGTACTAGTTGAGTTTCTCGGTTAACTCAGAAGGGGAAGCAAAATAAACTTACCCTGTGCTCAGCTGTGAGTTAAAATAACGCATAATGAAAGAAAGTAAACTGGCTGCATGAGCGGTGTCACCCAGAGAAGTGATTTGAAATGCTCTCTGGACTTTCCTGGTCTGTTCCCCTGTGTGTGCCGTTGCCACCCTCCCCCCCGCCCCGTAGCTCTCCAGTCCCTGTGCTGTCCCACAGATTTTCATATCTTTCTGAAGATACATCAGTCCTTTACCCATCTCCTATCTTCTTTGACATTTATTTCCATTTTATTTCATCATAGGTTAGTGCTTTCCATGGGTATAACTGAATTCCTTTATACTGTGTTTTTTGTTTTTCGTTTTAAATGACAGAAATCATCTGTTTTGCTTCTGTCCTTGGGTACTTTCTCCTTCCATCCTGATATTCTTCTTTTTCCATTACTTTGAGTTCCTTTTATTTAGTTTGAACAGTTTGTGTAACAGAAAGGCCAGGGGAACATGAGCAACTGCATAAGGAACAATTGGGATGAATGGGTGGGTCAGCCTGTTGTGTGAGGGCCGGCAAGACGGTGGGGACTGCAGCAGGGCGTCCAGAGTGTGTGCTTTTAAACGGTGTTGATAGATTTTACTAAATGGCTATTGGTTTTGGAAGAAGAACCCACGTGTTTTTTTTTTTTTTTCTGATGTATCTTTAACTGAGTCAAAGATAATACAGATGACCCATCAAAGATTAAGGAATAATATTATGTTCTTTTAATAAATATATACATGTAAAATAACAGAGTTTTGAATAATTCTTTGGTAAAGAATGCTAGGTGCAAGTGGTTTCCAGGGAGAGCACCCTTTAAGGTCACCTTAATTATTCTTTTCTGCCAGAATCTCTTGAGCAGAAAATTGCTTAAAATTTGGTGAAATTTTCCTTGGTATATCAAGTGAAACATAAACATCTAGAAAGAGGATTGTGCAAAAGTGGACTTTATAGTATTTAGTGGCCATTTCAGTTGGATCCCAGTGATAAATTCCATTTTCTGAGTCCTTGAGGGGAAAAAAGCCAAACTAGTTTCTTTGTGGTAATATCCTTCCTAAATTCTGGAGCTTTGTCACTCAACTTTTATTTCATTTGTTCTTTTCACACACTTGGTTCTGAACTGCAATCAGTGATCATCTTAGTCTGAGTAATAATAATTCATAGAAGATTTTAAAAATTACATTTAAAACCCAACTTGGTTTATGCTATTTTGCCACATTTATTGCTTCTAAAAACTTTTTATACATTCTAAGAGAATGCTTTCATTACAATTCTAATATTCAGATACTTAATATGATAAAGGTAGGTGCAAATTTTTTTTAACTGAGTGCTTTATTACTGTTTGTCTTTTGTGGCAAAGGTGTGTTCTATGTTCGGTTGATGATTTCTGGAAAACAATATTTGAGACTAATACAAGTTATTGGGCTTTTTCTTGAATCCGTAATAGCAGACGGCGACCGTGTTAGGCTTGACTCTGAGTCGACAGGCTGCAAAGCTAGGCAGAGTGGCACAGATGGCTTTGGGCAGGGCTGAACCAAGGGTCCCTTCACCTCAAAGGCACTGCCGTGGTCAGCAGAAGGGCGGGCCTGGACAGCCTCTCTCCCAGCTCAGGCAGCCTTTCCCGGGCGTTGGTGCCCTTGCCGGTTTTCGGCAGTGCTCTTGCCTGTGAGAAGTCATAACCAGCGCACATTTATATAGCTGCGATATCTCACAATAGCTTCATTGATACTTGATCTCCATAGAAGCGCTTTATGGATGCTGCTGAGTCACAGCCGCCCTCCCCGGAGCCCTCCCTGTCTGAGAGTGGCTTTGTGTCCTGCGTTGTACTGATTGTGCCTTCGGATGACAACTTACTTGAGTGATGGGGGAGCCAGCGTAATTTATTAAAAGTAATTGCAAAGAAACCAAACAAAAGGAGTAATTATAGTGTTGTTAATATGCAATTTGTTATTTTATTGAAATATTTGGAACTGGGTCCTGTGAGTGATTCTCCTTTTTTTCCTTATAAATCCCTAACAGATACATAATTTATTAAACTCCGTACCGAGGTCTCGAGTTGGATCTGGTTTCACAAGATCTTGACTTTTTTTTTTTCTCCGCCCCCTTTTTTTTAAAGCAGGACCAAGGGAGAATTGCTGATAAAATGTGTTTTTGTTAGCCTCAGGAAGGAAGTCTGATCTGTATTATTTTATACCATTAAATTTTCATCTGTTCTTTTGATTTACTTTTTTTTTTTTTAAGAATCTGCAGTTAAAAAAATATTCTGAGAAATGTGAATGTACTAAGATTCCTTCCCATTTTCAACTTGCATAACGGGGAAAATGAAAGAATAGGCATCCACTTACCCTCACACACACTTATTTACATATTTTAAAG